CCATAAAACAGTTAAGCAAACAATGCAAGGATGTATGAACAGTGCAAGATCATATGGAATATGCCATAGGCAGAATAGCACGGTCAAGCAAATGAAACAGAAGGCATAATCTGCTGGGAGAAGTGAGCAATACTAATCCTTGTATAATAATAATTCCTTGCACTTCTGTGGTACTTTACACTTTTGAAAGAATAATGTATGTGCTTTTTATATGCATTATTCCATTTTATTAATATTCAGTTATAACTCATGAGCTATCATACCATTATTATGCCAAGGTATGCATTTTCATGTAATCCTCACAAAAAATCTGTGAGATAAGTCATGCAGGTAGTAGTACTGCCCCATTTTACAGAAAAATAAGTCAGGAATATTAAGCAATTTACCCAAAATTACTCAGCAGGCATTAATTTCCTTTAGCTCCCTGAACATTGCCATCCTTTTCTCTTTCAATAATTGTAGTTATTAAATCACTGCTAAGCTAGTAGTAATTCTCAGAGATCTTACTTTGGAAGGTTAATCAAAGAATAGAAAATCTCAGGGTGGGGGCGCCTGGGTGGCTCAGTTGGTTAGGCGACTGCCTTCGGCTCAGGTCATGATCCTGGAGTCCTGGGATCGAGTCCCGCATCGGGCTCCCTGCTCGGCGGGGAGTCTGCTTCTCCCTCTGACCCTCCTCCCTCTCAGGCTCTCTGTTTCTCATTCTCTCTGTCTCAAATAAATGAATAAAATTTAAAAAAAAAAATCTCAGGGTGGAAAATTCAGCTTAATATTGGCAGTATAAATAATGCTATTACCACATAGTAGAAAAAGCTTATAAATTTTAATATTTTCCTTTTTAAGTGTGTTTTGAGGGTTTGATAAGGTGCATAAAGTAATGCTCCAAATCCTGCATACTTCTTGAAGAAATCAGATATTTACAGTCCTAATCCAAAACAAACTAATGTAAAGAAACACCATTAACACTGATGTATAGCACTATACCCAAAGGAATTTGGATAGGAAAGTGAACATTGTAGTAATTACAGTTCTTACATTCAATCTGGCTTAAGAATAACGCGACAACAAAGGCAATTGCAAAAGTAAATTGCAATGTGGGATTGAGCAATAAAAACAGGTAAGCAAAATATAATTTCTGTTTTAAAAACAGAAGTCAAAATTAGGAACACTTGTTAAAAATCAACAACTTCTGGGGCACCTGAGTGGCTCAGTCAGTTAAGTGTTCAACTCTTGATTTCAGCTCAGGTCATGATCTCAGGGTGGTGAGATTGAGCCTCATATCGGGCTCTGTGCTGTGGAGAAGTCGAAGTTTCTCTCTTTCTCTCCCCCTCTCTCTCTGTCCCTCCCCACAACTCGCAGGTGTGTGCTTGCTTGCTCTCTCTCAAAAAAAAAAAAAAAAAAAAATTAACAACGCTTGCTTAAAAACTGAAAAATAAGAAATTATAACTTTGCACTACCTCACATCCACACGCTATTTTCTTACATTTTGTTAAGAAAAGCAAAAGGCATTTGGGGGGAAAAGAAAGAAATGGAGGAGAAAGCTAGAGAATAAGCATAACACCATGGACGTCAGAAAAGTTAGGAAGATTAGCTGGCCAAAAGCACTGAATCGGATTGTAGAATTTGAGAGCCAGAGGAAAACAAATCTGGCTAATCCAACCCCCCTCATTTGACAGGTGGAAACAGTGAGCATGAAAGAGAATTAAGGGACTTGCTAATGTTCCACAACAAGTTAGTGACTGTCAGAGCTAAAACTCAATGTCCTGACTCCCTGGCCTGTGTTTTTTCCATTGCTCCACACTCCACTTCCTTGAATGAGAAAGATGGATAATCCAGAACACTGATGTTTTTTACTTGGTTATAAACTCTCTTTTTCTTGCTTTCTGTGACACCCAACCTCCAAGTGATTATTTTTTTTAAGTCTACTTTATATTGTTCAGTTTCCTCCTACTGCAAGAACACCTCTGGCCTGGATGGTATGTGATCTATTCATGCTTATTTCACCAAATTTTTTTAGAGCTCCATTACTGGATGTTCCCATGGTTCCAGCGGTGAGCCCTAAAGGGCCACAGCCTTCTTCTGAGTAGATCTATGTGTTCCAGGCACAGGGCTTGACCCAGTTACACCATCGTCCTAAGTACTCCATGGCTCATGCTTCTAAGGTAAGGAAAACATAAGGCTTAATGTGGCCACAGGGGACCAGCCATTCAAAGACAGGGCTGCTGTTTTCAAGAAACCTTACACAGGAAATGCTTCTAAAGTGTCACTGAAGAAGGTGAATTGTTAATAAAAACAAAGCAAATCTGCCTTGCTTGGCCACAAAGAAAAATGTTTTTAGAGGACTTCATGTGTGAATCAGCTAATCCCTGACTAAGCAAACCTGTATAATAATAACAGCTAATAGTTCACCAGCACTTACTGTGTGCCAGACATTTCATGTATTTTTAACACAATAGTCTTGTGTGATAGATATTATTACCCTCATTTTATAACTTAGACTCAAAGAGGTTAATTAACTTGCCCACAGTCCCATAGCTAAAAATTTGCATAAACAGATTCAACCTAGGACAGATTTACTCCAAAGTCTGTTATTTCTTCACCCATAAATCATTTCTCATGCTCTGGTGCTTTCTTCCTTTCTCCCACCACAACATAGCTTTGCTTAACAACTTCTCAGATTGTGAGCCTCACCATTTTAACCAAGGGCTCTCTAGGCTCTCACTTGCAGAGCTAACAGCCTCTGTCTCCTGACAAAAGGTGAGTCAAAACACATGCACACCACCCTCAAGTATATAATTCAGCCATCATTCTCCCATAGATTTAGCACTGCCCCAAGAATTTTGGCCAGGCATGGAGATGATATAAAGACAAAGAAATAGCTAGTCAAGGGCATGGCAAGCCCACGGACCTGTCAACCCTGCCTCCCTACCAAGACTAAGTGTATATAAATCCTGTTCAATAGTTTCTTCTCACTCCTGCCTCTGCTAGACAGAATTCAAATAGTGCATCCTCATCATTGCTCCTCTGATGGATGAATATAGCTGATGTGATCTTGCACAGCCTGGATCCACATGCCTAACATGGTGGCTGAAACCCAGGAAGCAGTCAGTAAATATTGCTTTGAATGAATAAATGAACTAAAGAGCATTTGTTCTCTTCTATAATAACAACAAATATCAGACATTGTGTATGTTAGGCTGTGTATGCTAAACTCTTTATATGCCTTATCTTATTATATACTTATGACAACCCTATAGGTACATACTATTATTATCAGAAGGGGTGAGGGAGCTCTCCTGGGTCTCTTTTATACCATCATTAATTTAATTACCTCTCAAAGGTCCCAACTACTATTGTACATCTGATACATTGGCTTAGAAAGGTTTAGTAACTTGCTCATGTCACATAGTAAGGAGCCATTCTACAATCAAAACCAGATCTGAGGGTCACCTGGGTGGCTTAGTTGGTTAAGCGTCTGCCTTCGGCTCAGGTCATGATCCTAGGGTCCTGGGATTGAGCCCTGCATCAGGCTCCCTCCTGAGCAGGGAGCCTGCTTCTCCCTCTCCTCCCACTCATATTCTGTCATTATTTCTGTCTCTCTCTCTCTCTCAAATAAATAAATTAAAAAAAAAACACCAGATCTGATTTCAGACCCAGTTTTCTTAACCACAGCACTCAACAGCATCTCTTCTATTTTTATTATCATTAATAATAATCACTACTTCTGTGTATTTAGCACTTACCATGTTCCAGGCACAATGCTAAGTATTTTACATTATTAGATTCTTTTAATTCCCAAAGCAACTCAATTATGACCACTAATGTGTATTATTTCCTCCATTTCCCATCACTGTGAACATGGTAAGTTACTAGGAATAATCATAATTTGCAGGTTTATGTGACAATTCTAGAGACTATTATGTAAATCATCAAGCACAGTGCCTCTGTATGTATACCCTGAAAGCAAAATGCACATGCCCCATCCTAAAACCACCTTTGGATAAATGATTCACTGAACATTATTTTGTTTAATTACTAAACATTACTTGGAGAAGCAATTAACTTACAGGGCAGTATTTTAAGCAGAAATAGCATACACTCAAATTCTGAACAAAATGTCTCAGATCTCTTTTAACCTGAGCTAGCTGGAACCAGTTCTCTTACAGAATGAACATGGGTCAGTTTTCAAAAGGAAGAAAAACGGTCTTCCAGGTGGGTACAGCCTAGAAAGGCCAGAGGTTGTCCGGGTGCCTTCAAAGGATGGTTCCAACAGCACAGTTGTATGCAGGAGTGTATTTTCCCAATCAAAAATCAGCACACATGGCTTAAGAAGTGGGTTTTGATTTCTTTTAATTAAGGTATGAGATACAATCCTATACGTAATTTTAAGTGTATGCTAAAAATTCCGTATCTTGATCTGGGTGGGGTTACAGAGGTGTTTCCATATGTTAAAAATGGAAACACCTCTGTAACCCCACCCAGATCAAGATATGGAATATTTTCAGCACTCCATAAGGTTCCTGCACCGAGTAACTTATAATCAACAAAGAAAATACATTTGAAATCAGGACTGAACACCAGAAAGCAGGTAAGAAACTTCAAAGGCTGGCTTTTAGGGGACAGGGACGGTCTTAAGTAAGAATAATACAAACCCGACTTTTAATCTTCTTTTAGTGTGGGCTTAGAGTGCTTCCGTGGATTCACACTTATACGTGCGGCGATCCCCCCAATGACTCTCGATATAGTTGAGATTTAACCCTTTTTCGCACGTGAGAAAATAGAAACTTGTTTAGGGTTTCTGCAGGGAGAGAAGGAACTGGACGTTTCGAATTTGCGCAGTCGACCTAGCCACGTGGCAGAGCGGAAGGCCTGGCTTCAGGTTACCAAGCAGCGCCTCTCGCGCCCGCCCATTGGCCAGCTGTGGGGGCCCCAGGTATAAAGGCTCAGGTCGACCGTCCCGGAACAGCGGTGCTGAATCCCGCCGCGCGCGCTTTGAACTTCCCAGAAGCTGCGCGCCTCCCTGGCACCGTGCCTCAGGCGGGCACCCATCTGACACTGGACCCCAGGTACGCTAGGAGGGACCCACATCCTTGTTTAACTCCCCTGGGGGCAAGCCGTGAGTCCTAGAGGGGATAATTATTATTTTAATTCTCGCCGAGGACTAGAGTGCAATAATCCAAGGATTCGGGAAACGATTGCCCAAGCAAAGCGCCTCTTGGCATTGAGGACGGCACGACCAAAGTTAAAGGCCAACATTGTGAGAATCTCCGCCTTAAACCAGCGGAGGATCGAGATTAAATCAACAAGCCCCGACTGTACAGGACCACTAGAGACAAGAGAAGAACGATTGTTCTTCAATCACTGAAGCATAGCTTGCAATAGCAGCGTGAAGGGCAGCTTGCACTGTCCCAGGGGAGGAAGGACAAAGCACCCCTCAAGTAGAAGAAAAGACACGGGAATTGCTGCGCCTTGCAGAGCTCCCTCTGACGACTGGTGTACCCTTGCAAAGTGCAAGCCCGCAGCACCAGCAGAGGGTCGCTCGCATCCGGCACCCGCCGCCTTATGTGGTGCCTGGAGAGGCTCCGCTTGGGTCCCGAGCGCCTCCTGAGGGGCAGGAACGGGATTCTTCAGGGTCGGGGCCGCCGAGCCCCGGCCCTCATGCCCGCCGCGTGGGAAAACGTGCTCACCCCGGACCGCATCCCTGAGTTCTGCATCCCCCCGCGACTCGCGCCCTGCACGGCCCTGGCTGCACTCCGGGTTTCCTGGATCCAAGCGGCAGAAATAGACAACGCCGCGGGGCACACGGACTGGGACCCGCGCTCGCAGGCCGCGCTCTCGCTGCCGCACCTGCCGCGCGCGCGCACCGCCTACGGCTTCTGCGCGCTGCTCGAGAGCCCGCACACTCGCCGCAAGGAGTCGCTCTTCCTCGGGGGCCCCGGGGCCGCCCCGCTCCTGCCCCCGGGCGCAGCCCCCGCCCCCGCCCCCGCGCTCCCCGCCGGCGCCCGCCCGACCTCGGACGCGCCCGCCCCGCCGCCCGGCGCCCGCCGCCTCCTGCGCGCCCCCGAAGGACTGCTGAGCCGCGCGCTGCGGGCCCGGAGGAGCCGCGGCCTGGCGCGCGCCCGCGGCGCGTCCAGCGGGGACGAGGACGAGGACGAGCAGCGCGGCGCCGGCTCGCGGCCCCCGGCCCGGGCCCCCTCCGCGTCCCCGCCGCCGCCGCCGCCGCCGCCGCCTGGCTCCGACCCGGGGCCCGAGTGCCTGGAGGCCGAGGGCACCGTGGCCCTGGGCGGCGCCGGGGGCGCCCTGCGCCTGGCCGCCCAGTACAGTCGGGCCAGCGGGCGGCTCCGCGTCCGGCTGCTGGGCGCCCAGGGCCTGGCCGCGGGAGCCGCCGAGCCCCGCGCCGTCGGCTGCCGCGTCAGCTTCGTCCTGCGGCCGCCGGGCAAGACGCGGCCGCAGCGCAGCGCCGTGGTGCGGCCGAGCCGCAAGGCCGCCTTCGACCAGGACGTGTGCCTGGACGGGCTGTCGGAGGACCAGGTGCGCCGCCTGGCCGTGCGCGTCACGGCGGAGAAGCGGGGCCGCGGCCGGGAGCGGGGCCGCCTGCTGGGCCAGGGCGAGCTGCTGCTGGGCTCCCTGCTGCTCCCCTGAGGGCGCCCGGGCCTCGGGCCGCCCGTGCCCTCGGGGCGCTCTCCGCCCGCTGGGAACCCGGGCACGGCCAGCCGCTCCGTACAAAACAAATGCTATTTATTTATTCTTCTACCCAGGACTTTGTTCAGTCCAATATTGGCACATATGTTGCTAGATTAATTACCACAATAAAGGACGTAATATTTTGTGTAATGCCTTCAAAATTCGTTTCAGCAAATGGTCTGTGTTCTGCAGTAGTGGTTCCCAATATAGATGGACAATTGCACTTCATGTTGCTCACAGCCCCTATTGGGAGATAATGGATCACAGGAAGTGTTAAAACTAGAGGGTGTCCTGGTGATCTATTTGCCCCAGCCTCCTCATATTGAAGTTTGTTTATTCCACAACATCCACCGAGACCATCTTAGAGCGGGTATTACCTTTGAAGCATTGTTTAAGACCCTGGGTGAGAAAAATGAGGCCAAGAGAGGTGAAGTAACTTGTTCAAGGTCAACAGTTAATTTTTTTTTTTAAAGACTTTATTTATTTATTTGACAGAGAGAGACACAGCGAGAGAGGGAACACAGGCAGGGGGAGTGGGAGAGGGAGAAGCAGGCTCCCCGCAGAGCAGGGAGCCCGATGCGGGACTTGATCCCAGGACTCCGGAATCATGACCTGAGCTGAAGGCAGACGCTTAACGACTGAGCCACCCAGGCGCCCCTCAACAGTGAATTATTAATAGAAACTCAAACCTGATACTTTTAGTTACATCTTGCTGGAAAAGCACTGGGAAAATTGAAGCCATTTTAATATTCTAAGTTAAAATAATAACAGTTTTACAAGTATTAACTAGTTTAATTTTTAAAACAAACCTGAAAGACAGGCACAGTTGTCCTCATTTTGGGGATGAGGATATTGAGGCACAGAATATAGAGCAGAGTCAGGATTTGCATGTAAGCAACCAGTATTTTACTCATTAGTTTCTAGAAATAATACCAAGCCTCTGAAGGGTTCATCTCATTACTGTTGTGGGATGGCAACTTATATCTGAAACTGTTGATTCTGAGTTGGGGGTCTCTTCACATCCTCACACCCTAGTGGAAAAGCAAATTGGCTCGAATGAGTAATTTATTATCTCACGCTAATGTCTAAGGTTCTGAGAAGATGCTAACTAGTCTCAGTCATAGAAAAAAGGGTGCTAACCTAATTGGCCCCAGCTGAGCTAATGTGCAAAGGCAGGGAGTCTAGAACATAATTATGATATTGTTCTACCTCTGGCTTCTGTTAGTGATAATAAATGTATTATGTTTTAAGGGATGACTTTCCTTCCTAGGTCACATTCACTGCCAAATAAGCATATTTCTCCCTTTCTTATGCATATAGGAGGAAAATATGTCCTTAAATGAGGGTTGAAAATATTTGAATGTGTGGTGTGGTGTGGTATTAAATATGACTACATTAGCAGTCTGGATTCAGAAACCTTTTCTGCTTTCACTAAACCGTTATCCACTGGTGCTCATGAAAAAATGCTGTTTAGAACAGGGTTTCAGTTTCAGTCACAACTCAGGCATAAGCTGAAAATGGGTTATTGTGGTGGGTGCTCACAATGACCAGCACTGAACAAATGTGAAGAATAACTGTGAATTCACTGTCAAAATCAGCCACATCCAGAAGCTCATGTGGTTGACCAAGTAAATGGTGACATAACAGTAGCTCAGACCTTTCATGTGCCCCTCAGTCTAAGTCACCATATCCCTGGCCTTCAAGCCAACAACTTTTTAAAAAATGTATAACTTTCTTCATGATTTCAGAATTTTGGTAGAATAACTAATACTGAGTTCACATATGTAGTACCTTAAAAGGAAAATAAATGGAAAGTGAAAACAACTTGGCTACATGCAATATATCACGTTGGGATTTTATTTTGCTGCTTTTTTAAAAAATAAAAGATTGCACTGATGGTTTAAATATCAAAACTTATTTGGAAAACATTGCAGTCACTATTGTCACTGGATTATATACAAGTAATAGTTTGGGGGCAGAAGTATCATTTTATTAAGGTAACATCAACATATTTCAGGGACCTAAATTTTCCATGTAATAATGGTGGGTATTTCCAAACAGAATCTCCACTAATATCAAGTTATGGTTGATCAACCAATGTAAGAGCCTAATCAGCAAGACTTAAATGACTAAAATATAATCATAAATCATAAGACCCTGGGATTTTAGAGTTGAAAAGAACTTTAAGAATTATTTTGTGCAAACCCATGTAACATAGAAAAGGACCAAAAAAGCAAACTGTAGATTGCCCCAAATCACACAATCAGTATAAGAGGTGGGGCTAGGACCAATTCTATTCTCATTTTGCTCTTCAACCTAATGAGTCTTTGGACCACTACTTCCAAGAAAGAGAAACATCTGTATGTAAGTTCTTTTACATTACTGAACTAATTTGAATGTTTTGCATTTAAGAAATCTTTGCAATACAAATTTTTTCATGAAAGCATCAGCCTTGCCTTGGGCAAATTTAAATTTGGTTTGCACTTTGCTGCCCTCTAGTGGATCCCTCATAAATTTTGTCAGTGTTTTTACTCCTTGGTATTAGACCATCTCAACTAAATACTAAAGACCATTGTAAGGTCAGAACCCAATGACCTTGAAGATGTGTGCTAATATCAGATTATGGTGAAGATTCACACTGCAAAATAACTAAATACAGCTATCTGGATGTAGAAGATGCCAAAAAAATTCTCAGATTAAAAATGAAAACAAAAGAAAACTTCCCAGTAATTACGAAGCTGGGAGTATGTATGCGTCAATGGCATGTTGGTTGCAGAAAACTGTTTTTAGAGTTCTCGTGTTTCTCAATCGGGTTTAGGTATGCATATCTTTGCACAAATGATATTACACAATCTTGCTTCTTTGTGGTTTAAATATTATGAACATATTCAAAGAAAAATCCCACACAACAGACCACAACATGTCAGTTTAAAAAGCTTTAGTTAAGTGCAAATTTAAAAATCAAATCAATAGCTTGGTTACTTGGTTTTGTAAAGGTAATGCATTCTATACTTAAAATACTAGCTTTAATATGGCTCGAACATGCCTCAAAGATTATTTCTTCAGAATCTAATTTTCTTTTACACACACTACAATTCACAAAACTTTCCCCCATATCCATTCCCAGGACCTAGGTCAGGATACTATTTTTGGTAAAGATATTTGAAAGGCAGGGCAAAAAGTAGGTACCATGATATTAAAGTAACAATATATGGTTAAAGGGTACAAACTTTCGGCTATACGATGAATAAGGTTTAAGGATCTAACGTATAATATGATTAAAGTGGATAACTTTGTATTCTATAATGATATTTATAAAGAGTGTAGAACTTAAATGTTCTCACAAAGAAGAAGAAAAATATGTGAGGTGATGAGAGTTAATTAACTAGATGGGGGAGGCAATAAATATATGTAAGTGGATAAAAGGTCATTCAAAAGGTTTATTTAGAGGATCACCTGGGCAGCTCAGTCGGTTAAGCGTCTGCCTTCAGCTCAAGTCATGATCCCAGGGTCCTGGGATTGAGTCCTGCATTGAGTCCCTCAATGGGCTTTCAGTGGGGAGCCTGCTTCTCCCTTTCCCTCTGCCCCGCCTCCCCTTCTGCCCTGCTCCCTTTGCTTCCCCCTCTGCCCCTCCCTGCTCAAGCTCTCTCTCCCAAAGAAATAAATAAAATCTTTAAAAAATAAACAAAATTAAAAATAAACAAAAGGTTTATCTAGAATATCTATCATGGGTCGAATACTTTTCAAAAATCTCGATTTATACCTGTGAATAAGATACAAAATGTCCTTGCTCTTATGGAATCAGGTTTTCAAAGTTGGGGAAGGAGACAGAAAATAAATAATTTCAGTAGCACTTCAGAAAATAAAATGTGATAATGAACAAAGGCATGACTATGGTCAAAAAGGTACCTCAGATTGGGTGGTTAAGAAAGGCCTGTGTGAAGACCTGATACTGAGCCTTTCTCTAGGTTCACATACACAGAGTTTAATCCAGTTTGCTGATGTGGGGACTCCTGGCCTCCGAGGGTGCCCTGTCAAGGGCTTTCCTAGAAATTCCGCTAATACCTTATCACCACTTCCCTTGTGGTTCAACTCTAGTGTATAGAAGCTCATCTGCCTCCAGACTTATGAGTCTAACGGATACAATAAACCTGAGGCAGCCCAAGGTGTTTACAAACACAATTTTTACTATTTTTGCATTTTATCATTTGTATATTATCATACCATTAGCTAAGAATTTTGTTACGGCATTATAATGGCACTTGCGTTAATTTGAGAGGATGATAAATTCTGGTCAGATTAGGCCTTCTGGGACATTTAGGAAGCAAATAACAACATGACTTTTCTTGTTGGTATTTTATGGTTTTCACAGCTAATTTTTATCCTTTATGCTCTTGAAACTTCTCAACAACTATTTGTGGTAGGTACTCTTATTATACCTGGGGTGGATGCTGTAGGTTGGCCCCTTCAACGCCCACCCCAGCCCCTTACTTCTTTCCCTTATGTGCTATAGAGTCTAGAGAACAAACAGTTGCCTTCCCAGACCCTTTTTCAGCTATGGATAACTAAGTGACTCAGTTATGGCCAGTGAAACACAGGAAGAGGTCAGCTAATGGTGCCTTTTCCCTTTCCTCCCTCATCCTGCTGGAATATACAAGTTGGGAGAAACAGCAGCCATCACTAAGGAAGCTAAAGGGTACTGGTTTCTCAGTGACGTCACTGACCCTCCACGCTGGCTCTGGACAGCCTCCCCCCAAAGTTCTTGCCCATAAGACAAATACATTCCTAACTTGTTTCTGCCACTGTCCAGTTTTCAGAAATATATGAACACAATGCTAACTGTTACAATATCCATTTTACAGAGAAGGACACTTTGATTCAGAGGACTTAAATAAGTTGCCTAAGACCATGCATCAAGTAAATGATTAATTTAATTGCAGACCTCCCAGACCTCCATGCTCATTACTTTTTTTATTTCTCACTTTCTTCATGTAAGCTATTGTTCTAAACTTTTTTTTTGAGATACAATTGGCATACAATAAATTGCACTTACTTAAAGCATACAAGTTCATGAGTTTTGACATACATATATGCTCATGAAACTCAATTCAGTCAAGATAATGAACATATCCATCACTCGTAATAGTTTCTTCATGCTCCTTTATAATCCCTCT